AGTCCAGCTTGGCAGGGACTGTTATGCGTATCGACCTATCCCGTACCATGCGGGATGAAGGAACATGGCAATAAGAGTCAATGAAACACCGATAACGCAAACTGGTTTGATGAAGTGTCAGCTTTGGGTAACTCCTGCGTTTAAAAACTTGCAACAAACTATGTATGTAAATGTTTGCTCCGGAAGTGTAGCCTCAAAAAAAAAACTTCTTAAGTTTGTGAGTCGCGAACTTCGAGTTCCGTAATGAGTTGGTTAGTTCGTGTTTGATTTGTCACTGGCTACGACCTTTTTCCCTGCCGTCTTTAACACTTCAACTAAACTACGCCGCATAGTAACCTACACCGTGCCAATTACGAATTACGTTGTGTTCACGTCTGCTCATATCCGCCATGGTTGCTGTTGTGTTGTTGAAGGTTATGTAAAAGGCTAGCCAAAGTTTTCCACTCTGTCTTTCAGAAGACGTTTGACATTTTATGAATGACTTTTTGAAAGACGGCTCACAAACCTGTTTGCAGATGGACTTCAACAACATGAATCTTGCTCCCATTGCAGCACAGCAGCCATGAAATGCTTGCGTACCAGGTTAGTTCCTGTAAATGCTTAGCCAGTCTTGATGAATAAAAACGATTCGACAACTCAACGATGAACGGTTCGGCGAAGCTCATGTGATTTACCCCGATCCCCGGCCATTATAGTCCTTTTCATTTCAGAACATGCATCGCCGATAGCAGAATGTGGCCTCTGACGTAACGTATGACAGTCATTCACCGTCCACGGCACGATCCAAACTAAGCTAAGACGATGCGTAATTCAGTAATCTGAAATGTTCTCAAAACGCGGCCAGTTTCGCGACAGCTGGCTGTCTTTTAGGAATGTGAGCGGAAACGGTCACTGATCAGTGGTCATGTCAGGTCACCAGAGGGCCTCTATCAGTTGAGAAGACACAACACAATTCTGAATAGCTTGCGAAGACAGTTTACATGTCCATGAAGTGAGTCTTTGGAGGAGACAACATCCGTATATATGTATGTATGCGTATATGTAGACAGACATATTTATGTGTGTCCTGGAATCATGCACCTAATTATATGTTCCATCAACAGAAGCTCAATCTAAACGCTTTCCTCTAAAATTTCAATTTATTTTGAAGTAGCTGTATAGCAGCACCGAATTCACCCCCCCCCCAAAAAAATGAAACAAACTATGTGCGACAACGCTGTGGGAAAGAAGCGAGCTATGTTTCAAGCTGCGTTCCGATGGTTGCAGACTGAAATTGGCTGAGTTTGTGCGCAGCGTTCTTCCGCAAATAACCCCCGTGATTTGTGTGGACAGCCGACAATTTATGGCTGAGATTCGCCGCGCAGATTGTTCTGGATTGTTAACAAGATTATGATGCAATACCAACCGTCACTTTAGGAAGTCACACTGTTCCATCGTCACTCTGTTCCTGAGAATCAGAAGTTTGCTTTTCCGTCTAACTATTCACAGCCATTTCCAGATTTCACAGCCCACAACGACCACATGCACAAATCTCGCCGCACGGTATGCATTTTCGTATCATCCACTTCACGGCCTCTTTCCTGACTCAGTTGTGCGTTATCTGCGGTACCCCGTGGTCTCATACGTTCCTAGAAGTGCGAGCGCGTATCTTTGCGGGGGGGGGGGTAATGGCACGGCCGCCCCGGCGCTGACCCAGCGGCAACCACTGAAATGGCCCTCTTCAAAAGTTATGTCCGCTGTTGCCTGGGACACGGGAAGTCTTCTGCCGCAGTCAGCATGCCCCAAATCCGCCGAGTTTTGCAAGAGATTGGTAGACTTTTAGCTTTAAATCCACAATGACCTTTCACGCGGCTGCTAGAACGGTGGATACTGGAAACTACATGTAGAGCGTAAAGCAACAGTTATTCAGTGACATGACTGGAATTCTCTGCAGTTATCGATTGCCCTGCATGACACAACGAAATGTGACGCTCGGAAAAGTTAAGCTGGGCTCTTTCAAGGATGAGCGATGGGATGAGAGGTGAATCAAGGGAGCGAAAGGACGGGAAAAGATCACAAGTTTCAGCCAACATGTGGGCATACGCAGTAGTGAAGTAGCTGTACATAGGGTAACTTGAAAGATAGTGATGAGAATGAGAGGTTCCTCAGCCGTTGATACATTTGGTTATCAAGGCTAAAGGATGTTCCTTTTAAGTCTTTTTTGTAATGCCTCTTGCTGAGAAATCGTTACAGTCACTGAAATCAATAACATTGTACCAGATTCATTCAGAAGCATGAGTTTGGCACTGGATAAAGACTAAAAATAACGCCGTTTGTTTTGGATCATGTTCAAGCGTAGCAGCGTGTCGGCATGTGTAATGGTTGGTTCAACTGAGTTTTAATTGCATCAACTCGGGTTTTATTGTGTCGGTAAAACAATCTGTGATACGCAGCGTGTGTTTTCTATCAATAAAGGAAAAACGAGCTGCTAACCTCTCGCTGCACGTCCTCTTAGAAGTATTGGTACAGATAGGTAGAAGTGTAGGTACGGATAAAGTTGGAAGGTAAGCTACGCTAGCAAATACAAACGTGTGCGGCCAAATTGAATGACATCATTAGAAATTGCTTACATATATTTAGCCATACAGCTAATAGCCGTGCTTGTGAAATCGTTCACCGAATGCACCAACTTCGGATGTCAATGTGATTCCACCGAGTTACACGTCATCAGCAGTAGGAGGCAGTCTAAACGCCTTCTCGTTTGTTTGCTCTGAGTTCGGATGATGTCAGGAATGAAGGCATCGCTTATTTAGCTCATGACTGTGGGTTTAGGTGCGAACTACCGCTGGTCAGGAATCCAGTCGAGAATCTAAATACGATCTGCACAAGCAAGGATAGTTTTTGCGCCCTGATTGTCAAGGTGTCGTGGTTTGGCGTTTATTTGCAACTACCGCTAGAGATTGAAAAGTGAATATAGGCAATGACCCCACTCACTGTAAGCTCACTCACCGTAAGCTGTAAGCTCTTCTTACTGCGTGGCTTCGCACTTGCTAGGAAGCATGGCAAGTTTGATTTAACAGCACAGTAGAGATTGACTTTGAGCATACCAAGCCCGAAGTCGAACAATGGTCATGAACCATTTTTCTATTTTGTATTTATATTGTCTTTTGCATTTATTTTGTATTTATTTCAGCATCCCGAGAGAGCAAGTGCAAAACACAGGGAACATGAGCTGATAAATGAAACTGAATTGGGGCCATTTCCAACGACCATAACCTAGGTGACGACGAGACAGATCTGAATGGGTAAACATCGACCGAGAGTCTCATAAATGGTATAGATATCCGATACACCACATGCCAGGGTAATAACTCACAGACCATTGAGCGAGTCAGCGCCATTGAGCCCAGCTGGCACCCGTCACTGAGATCCATATACCAATGCAGACAGCCTGCATTTAGTGCGTGGGCTTTGTTGGACGCGGCTATTGACATTTGACATGCCCATATTATCATTGGAACGCTAGACCGGACCATTGCCTCTGGTGGGTTTCCGCCAGCGTTATTTTAGGACCAGCCATCTCGACCATCGAGGTGGAACCAAATCGTATGCCCAGTCAGCTATACACGCTGCTCTGGCTGGGGTCAGCAGAGGCAAATCGGATTTTGTCCAATTTTCTCCCGTGGCTGCCGTCGGTAAATGACCGGCCCTCTTCGGGAATACGCATAACGCAGCTGCCGCATTCAATTTGTTCCCTGCTAAATGTTTTCCACTGCAGGTTTGTTCGACGTTTTAGCGCAAATCGGAACATAACACAGAGCTATTGCACCGTGGCTATAAGGTATACACCGAATGTATTTCAGGGGCTCTGATTCAGTGCACAGAACTTCGTACTTACGCTGGCATTAATTGGCAGGCAATTGTTTGTTTGTTTTTTTGACAATTATTTTAATGATTACTGAAAGATAATTAACTTCAAAATCTAACAATATTTTTTTTACAAAATTAGACGAATTTAAAATAGAATTACTGTTTACTCTTGGCCCTTGCTGTGTACCACACACTTAGCCATAATTGAAACTTATGCGCTCCTTGGGTTTTGGTTTTCAACTCTAGACTCCCCTCCAACCATGTGCATTTCGTTGAGAGGGTTTCTTTGTAACCTATTACCCGAGATGAATACATTAGCGCCATCACTCGTTTCCATAGGTCTCCAAGATACGGGGGAGACACTTTAAATCCGTGGAAAAGCCTTACGTGTGTTGGTGCTGGAGCAGATCGGCTTTGAACTGAGATCGCAGCAAGACAAAATGTTTGCTTGCTCAATAGAATTTTGTAAGAGTGTGAACATTCTGCAGTTATCTGGGAGTGATTCAGGTAGAAGAAGCACAAAAAGAAAATGCTTCCAGAAAGCTGGTGATTGACATTGATACTTGGCGTGAAGTAAAAACAGGAAGAAGGTGTGTCATGCTTCTTTGGTTAGTGAAAGTGGCCAGATGTCTAGCAAATATATAAGTAAAGATTTGACACTGTAAGATGTGTACTTTTGTTTCAATAATGGCTATAGTTACCTTTAATTTTCATTTTTAGCCATTTTATTGACGTGGTTTTCGAGGAAGCGAATGAGTTGAAAGGCCCCCGTAGGTTTGTGCGTACTTGCAGCACTTGCAGCAGCCGCTAGCCCAGCTCACGGACAACTACAGTGGTGTATAACCGGCGGTTTAACGCGGTAGTTCGTCTTGCTGAAGCGGTTGACCCCATGCCTACGGATTAGCTCAGGGGCACTGGTGTCATGAATAAGCGTGAACGTCTGACATTACAGCTGCCAGAGCCTGCCAGGGTGGAGTAGTCGAATATGCTGTGAGAATGGCGACAAAGCTTGAGCTGTTTTGGTGACTGAGGATAAACTTACTACATACTTTTTATCGAAATCGCTCACGCATGACCCGGAAAACGTGGCCCGCAAAAGTCACCGAAAAGACTACGTTCAGCCCTAACCAACCCGAAATTCCTTTCACCAGGTGCGGGGACGGCTCGCCATGAGACCCCGTCGCTGTTAGCCGGACGGCATGGCCGAACCCCGCGCTTCGGACCGCGACGGCTCGGACGGAACAACCGACACCGGCCCGACCGAGGAGGCCCCGACGGTGGAAAATTCATCGGCGACGACGGCGTCCGGTGTCGTCGGCCCGTCGATGTCGATACCGTCGGGGACGGCGTCGGCCCCGCCGTCGCCGGCCCCGAGCGGCGGCGAGGCGGGCCGATCGCCCGTGCAGACCACCGTCTCGCGGTTCGTCAAGTCCGTCCCTAAGCTGGAGAGGTGAGTGGACCGAGTGGAGGGCGCCTGGAGATGCCACAGGGGCAGGGGAGGGGAAGGTGGATTGTGCAGCTGCTTTGGCTTACTTTTTTCATTGGCTTTCAAGGGTGGATTGAAATGCTTGTGCAATGCACACTTCATTCCACAGTGATCATCGCTAAAATAGTTGATGTCTGCATTGTGAGAATTCCAGCGGTTAGAAACGAACACTCCTAATTTGCTGGTGCTGTGTCCAGTTTTTCCCCAAAGCCGGAATGTTCCTGTTGAGGCAAGGTCGACGGTTAATGAATGTTTAAGGCCGATGTGCCCTCGAGCACGTGCATGGATCCACGTGTCGGCTATTTGGATAAGTGTATCGTGCTAGGACAGGTGGCAGACCTCTGACGACGTCACTAAACCTTTGAGGATTTAGCACCGAGAACATGAAGTGAAGGCTGATAATAGCGCACATGAGCGTGCCGAGCGTTTCGAGAGGAGTGCTTCATATTTCACACTGACTTGGCCGCATTGTAGACCTGTGATATGCCACGCATTTGTGACATTTGACGGCAGGATGGTATTGTGACATTCGAACTATTATGTTTGACAATTTGACAACGGCTCACACTCAACTTGCTTTGCTGAACCAATTTTTCAGTCTGTCACGCTTGGTCGTTTCTTGGCTGTCACGTTCAACATGTCTGGGTACTGAACTACATTGTGAACAGGATTATAATCCTTTCGCCATCATGCGGTAAAAAAACGGTCACTGCTCTGCAGCCATCACATCAACTCCTCGATGAGCCACTTTTCCGCATTTACCTTCCGATTATTACAACTCGACCCATCGACCGAGCCATTAACGGGACCCGCAGCAATCGACCGCACCATTAGGCGCATCGATGGCCAAACGTACGATCACACTGCGTAATCGGTGCCACCAGCATCGCTGGCCGATGTTCCGTGGCCATTGGAAATCAGCTCCCTCTCACGCCCGATCGCACGCCGGACCCGCGCTAGCATCGCTCTTCGCTATCCGTCGACGCACTAATCGGTGAGCCCCTCGGGCTGGCACCCCTTCCTCTCGCCGACATCGACGGGCCCGCCTGGTTCCTGCGCCTTGCCACGGGCTGCTGAGAGAGCATTGTTGGCGAAAACCATCATTTCCTCGGCGCGGAAGTGAGAAGGAGTGGGTGGGGGTGGGGGTGGGGGAAGCGCAGCGCTCCTGATTGCGCCCGTGTCTGGCCAAGTGGGGCTGCCAAGGGACGGCGCTGGTCGCGTCTGTCTGGTCTATCGACGGCACTGTGGCGCGGCCGCAATCAGCCCAGAGCCTCCAGCCACGAATTAGCTTCGTTTGAGCCGGGACACGGCGGTGCAAGCTCGACAGATTGACAAGACTTTGACCTTACTGAAATGGCGCACTGGGCCTCGGTTTGTGGCTGCCTTTTACTGCGTGTTGCGAAATGGCAGGCTTCAGCTGGCCGATGCGACTCGGAGACTGTTTACATCGTGTCCGTGTCCCACGGGAGAGCTGTGTCCCAGTGACGTCGCTACTGTCCCGTGGTGACGTCACTGGTCGCTGTATTGATGCCGGCAGAAGAGTGGAGAGGGGTTGGACGCATCTTGCCAAGTTGCAGAAGCTAAAGCCAGCCCTTAGAATTCAGCAGAGTGGCTATTTGCATATCATTGGAACTCTAAATTCCATCATGATCCCTTTGTTCGTCGACTTCTAGAAGAGATTGATGGATTTGAGTACAAAATAAGAAATGTTACCCATCAGGCTTCCGTTTTTGCCTTTTCCTTCACTTCCTTGAATATCATCAATCGCACATTACAGGACACCCCTCTAGAAACTAGTTAAAATTCATTCATGGCCATTTGTAAGCACCAGGTTTGCGAAGCACGACTGAGCTCGGATATTCGGCGCACAGCAACACGAGTAGGCATTAAGACGTTAGAAAGTTAGATATACGTGAACCTAGATTGTGGAAATATGTCTTATTGTCTAGGCCAGCTATAGCGACGTTATTTTCATGTTGCAATTCCTTAACGTCAGAGAGCCTTTAGTTGAAACGACCATTGTAAGTCATGCCTGGCCCCTCTTTTCCTTACTTCACATACCAACACTCTACTCTCGCCAGACATTGGATTAGTGTTACAACTAGACCGTTTTGTTGAGCCGTATTGATCGGGGATCCCGACGGACGGGCATCCTCGCAATATACTGGCGTGGATCATAAACGGTTTAGCGTTTCACGCACTATTGAATATTCCATGTGGATGTTGGTGGGCCGTGTTCAGAGTGGCTTATTTGCCGCACTGCAGCCACATGATTTGAAGTGGGCCACTACATGATGTTGATATAGGCTGATTCTCATTAGATCCACTGCAGATAAATTTGTGGTGTATCTATGCAGAGAAGTGTCGAGGACGGTACTCCTCATATCAACAACAATGGAACCAGAAACTTTTACGACAGGTATCGTTCATGATATAGTACTCTGGTCTCTGACATGTGTAGAATATGATTTATTGAATGGTCGCTTTTGCCATGATCAACTGTTCTATATTTTCTATATTTTTTACATTTTCGGCCTCGTTTTATTATATAAAAAACATCTCACGGCCATGCTATTGGTCAATTTCATCACCATGTTTAATGTGTAGAATTCTCTATGTATGTATATCAGTAGCAGTCTATGACTCTGAAACCATGACATATTTTGACGGCACTTGGTCGGGTCTTTTAATTTATTTAATTCCACTTTCGGTTTGGCTTTATTGTTTGACGTTGGGCAGACAACAATTTAAAGACCCAAAGAGTTCTTCAGACGTCTGAAAAAGCCAATCGTCTCAAGAAGCTAGAGAATTGTTTGTTTGCAATTGCTCGAGCATTGAAACATTTAAACGTGTTGTGAAATGTGCCGATCTATTGTATAAAGCACGCAATGAATTGTGAATTACCGTTCAACTGCCATATGTCTTTTACCTTCATTATTTTGTCAGCATGGATTGCAACAGACAGCTAAAGAATTGAATACTTCACTATATTTGGCCGCGCAAGTTTCTTATATGATAAATCCGTCCCAATTTTCAAAGTTTGCATGTTTGGAGAAAACTGTCTGGCAACTGCAGGGTTCGCTTACTATGCATCGAATACAAATGATGAAGTGATCTTATGCTGGTGACCTATATGTACGTAACTACATCTAACCGGGGCATATGTCATTGTCCACGGTTTGTCCCGCCACAGCTGGCAGGGGTTTCTCCGGCGGCGCAGATTTAATTACAGTTCCAGAAGCCCCACTGACAGCTCGTTTTAGGGATGATTGAGCAGCTCTGGGAGACGCTGAGCTCCGGTGCGAGTACCGTTGCTAAATGACATGCTCACTGCATTTGGTGAGATCTCAGATCTGTGCTTGTGTAGCTCCTCACTATATTTTAGCCTGTTGTTTTTCCAAAATGGCTTGATAGCCAATGAATAGAAATGTATGGTCTCAACTCTAGCTCATTTGTGTTTCTCTGTGCCTTTTCCATGCCTGCTGTTATCTTTCTCTTTCCTCCCTTTCCCTTTCCACTCTCCCCCTCCCTCTCGCCCTATTTTTTTCTCTCTCTGTCTCTCCATGTCATTCTCCGTCATCCTCTCTCTCCCTTTCTCCCTCCCCCCCCCTCTCTCTCTCTCTCTCTCTCTCTCTCTCTCTCTCTCTCTCTCTCTCTCTCTCTCTCTCTCTCTCTCTTATTTTCTGTTATGCTAATATGTCGCATGCTGCGTTGATGCGTTGATCAAGTCTTGATGATACCTGAAATTGGATCAGGCTCATTAATGGCCAAATTACGTATTTTACGCTAACGCTGTTTTTGCGGCTCTACGTGCGCATGTAGCAAATGACATTATGTAAATCCCGCATTTCGCAATATTCAACGTGCCTACAGGACGATGGCTCTGTATGCCTTGTGTGCCTAAATTTTTGCCAGCAGTGCACACAGTGCTGTGGTGTATCTGAACTTTGTTTTCAATTTTCAAAAAGTTGCAGCTTTCATTGTCATTGTTACGGAGCGAGCGAAGCGAGCGGAGTCGGAAATTTCTGAGTATGAGCGGCCGGCCAGCCGGCCGGCCGTGGGTCACGATTTTGCGAGGCTTATAAGTTATATCTCAGCAACCACTTGACCGATTTACATGCGGTAATTTTTGTAGGGTAGCTTCATTCCCTCTACCAAGTATTGGACTATTCCCGATGCATGTGGATGACCCCTTATGCACGTGCCACCAGGGGCGCGGGAACTACTTTCCGACTGGGGGGCACACCATAATAGAGATTAACCTAGGGTACCCCCAAATCTAGTTTTCTCACCGGTTTTAGGCCACTTATTTTTCACCCCTCGGCTTTTTCAACAAAAAAAGAAAACATTTGCAAAAAAAGTGTGGTATTCCGTCTCAAAGCTGTGGGGGCACCGCCCCCACGGCCCCAGGGCAAGCTGCCCTCACTGCCCCCCCGGCTCCCGCGCCTATGCGTGCCACGCGCAAAACGAAGAGGTGTCACTTTTGTAATAGTTGCAATATCTCGGTAACTACTGGGCCGATTGCGCTGAAAGTTGGCATGTAGGTAGGCACCCACTAGGCAATGCATATCCATGTGCCAAAGTTGGGGTACTGCTGCACGTGCGCACGTGCAGGAGTCGATTCCAGATCTCGAGAACGGCTTGGCCGATTGCGCTCAAATTTGGTACACGGTTACGGAGCAGTTAGTAGGGTGCCTGCACAAGTCAGTTGGGACCCATTTTGCACGTGCGCACGTGCAGGGTGCCGCTTCCAGATCTCGAGAACGGCTGGGTCGATTGTGCTCAAATTTGGCACATCGCTATAGACCGGTTTGTAGGGTGCCGTGCACAAGTCAGTTGGAGGTACCCCCTCGCAATTTCGCACGTGCAAGGCCCACCCTCTCATTCGCTCCGTTAGTCGCCCCAAAAGGCGTTATACTGGTTCTTAGTATTTTTTTTTTTTAAACTTCATATGGAATAAATGC